ATCGATGGAGCATGTCGCGTCGTCGACGTATTCCTTTAACCTCGTTATGGACGGCATCGCCTTCCATTTCACTTTCTCCGGAGGGCTGGAAGCCTCCTTTTCGAGTTCCGAGTGTTTCTCCATTGGGAGCAGCACTCTAATCACCTTGTCGCACGTTTTTCATTTGGTGGAATTGATGCGCGACTTCGGTTCTCTGGCAGTTTGCATTTGGGGGAAAACATGCAGATCAGTTTCACTGCAAGGTCCATTCCTTGCTCGGACAAAACGATCTGCATTCCCGCCAGAGAACAAAAGGAGCGAGTGTTGAGCGACTGCATCAATTCCATTTATATATTCCTTTTGAATATTTCCTTTCGCTTTATATGTATTTCCATTACATATAAAGCTGCAAATAGGAAGCAGCTGCGAATACATTAACCGAACGGTATGTGTGCTTGCTCACGAGTGTTTGGTAATGTTTTGCATGCTTGCTGCATTTCATGACATTCAATGTTCATTGCAGCAAGCAGGCTCGCAGCTGCCAGCTCGCCTGCATCGCAGGCAAAAATTTTGTCCCACCCACCTCTTCCCTTTTATTGGGGAGTACATTGCTGGCATCTGCATTCTGGTGGCGGTCTTTCTTGCTTGCATTTCTGTGGATGTCTGCATCAACATCAGGCGAAGCTTTCTTGGCCATCTTCTAAGAAGATTGACCATTCTGCATTCCTTCATCGGTGACAGGTCGGTGCCTTTTGATGCACCTCGATCTCACCGGATGGGGGAAAACATGCAGATCAGTTTCACTGCAAGGTCCATTCCTTGCTCGGACAAAACGATCTGCATTCCCGCCAGAGAACAAAAGGAGCGAGTGTTGAGCGACTGCATCAATTCCATTTATATATTCCTTTTGAATATTTCCTTTCGCTTTATATGTATTTCCATTACATATAAAGCTGCAAATAGGAAGCAGCTGCGAATACATTAACCGAACCTCGATGAGTCATTGTCGAGAGGATGCCCTAGCTGAACCAGAACCGCCTATGTCTCAGCTGTGCATGTTCGAGGCTACTCTTTCAGAGGAGTTTCTTTACTATGCACCGCAACTGCAAGCATGTCAACCTGCGTGTGACCTGGACTCTGGTGCTGGGCTGCGCGGACCGTCGACTGTAATTCCTGAGTACTCTGATTGTGTGAATCAAGAAACGAAAAAGACCCGTGAAGGGGCAAAGAGCCTTAGAGGCCTAACTAGTGATGCTTGTGAGTGTCAAGAAAGGAAGAAGACCCGTGAAAGGGCAAAGAGCCTTCGAGGCCTAACTAGTGATGGCTTTTGCAGCCGAGTTCTAGGTATCTTGAGTGAGCTTTGCACCGTCAAGACCCGCAGAAGGGCAAAGAGTGCATCAAGTGCTGGACCCCAGGGACCGGCTGAAGTTAACAGGCGGAACACCGGCTCTTTGGAGCCCCCCTGTCCTCTCTCCTCGCCGAGCCGCCGCCATGGCCTCGACCCGCAGGTACCTGGAAGCAGTGGCGGCCAGATCTTCATCGAGCAGGGCAAGGATGCCGATGCCCAGGACAACAGGACTTTGTGCTGCCAGGATGTGTGCTGTACTCCGTGTTCTTTTATGCGTGATTGCAAGTGCAGTACCAATGGACGTGACCTTTGCTTTTGCCGGGGTTCTTTTGCCCCCTTAGGGTTTATAGGTCCTCACCCGTAGGGGTGCCCATGCGTTCCTGCTGGTGTCAACAGGAGAGAAACTGCCCTTTTCATGTTGCAACCTGTGCCGCTCTGCGCAAATGCGTGGAATCTGCAGGTGCGACTGAGCCGGCATCTGTGACTGCTTGTGGGCTGTGTCTTGAGCCTACCAACATTGCCTCTGAGGCAAGATCTGGTGCGATTGCCAGCCACGAAGCCAAACAAGATTCACCTGTCGCCTGTTCTCCCATCTCCCACCCTTGGTTTAGGCCCTCTCCTGTAGGGATTCCTGCTTCCTGGGAGGGCATCTGTGAGAATGGCGGCAGACACAGTGGATGCTGCCTTTACTGTGACTCCGTTTCCCCTCTATGGTTTAGATCCCTCTGGGTACCAGCGCATGAATCCCCAGCGAGACGCCATGCTGTCAACCAGGAGGGTGCTTCCTTTACCCCTCAAGGAACTTCGGATCCTGCCTGTAGGTTCGGAGTGAAGTGTGGTCAAGAGCAGTCGAGAGACTCCGGCATATCCTGCCGTGCTCCCTTCCCTAAGCAATCTGCTGCTGCTGTTGCAATCACTGCGGACCCGTGTTGTACTTGTGAAATATGTGATTGTGCGTGTGCTCAGGTGCTCGGGCCGCCAGGTCAGAGTGACACTCGACGCAGGCCCTTGCATTCGTACGAACCCGACTTAGTGGCTGCCGGTGTTCACTCGAAACACCAGGCGCTGCAACTCCATCATGATGCTGTGCTAGAGAACGATACTTGCAGATGCTGTCCACGCGCCTCAGCACCAGGCACTTTGATTTGCTCAAACATGTGTAGGTGTGCTGTAGCCTCCACTGCAGCTGCGCAGTGGGCTGCCCCAAGTGACAACAGTGAACAGTGCGTGGATTGCGATTCCAATTCCTGCAGGCAGGACCCTGCCCTGCGTCAGAAAGGCTCTGCAGTCGCAGAGCAACGCTCAAGGACCCCAGGTGTTGCCCGTGGCCCAGGTTCTTTGTTGCCTGGAGTTCCTCCTTCTCCCTCTTCGGTTTGCTTCGGGTTTAGGACTCGGCCCCCTTCCCCAGCTTCCGTTCGTGAACCAGTGTGGGAGTCGCCCAGGGATGATTTGGCTGCTCCACGGGATGAATCTGCAGGAGGCAGGACCGTGGCATTTGGCTGTCTCCCCTCGATTTTCCAAGAGAATAGACCGACCAAGATGCGGAGGACCACCTTCGCGCCTTAAACAGCCATTTGGGACCTACTGTAGACCCTCCCTATATTAATTTCCCCAACCCCTGTGTGGCAGGGCCTACAGTCAGAAATCACCTTTCGGACCATCAAGCTGGAAGGCCTTTGCTCCCAACAGGTCTGCGATTTGGAGGTGAAAACCCTTTCGAGGGCATGATGGCAAGTGTCACCGAGCAGCTCATGCCTATGATCACAGCGCTCATCCAGAAAGCTGTACAGGAGGCCATTGCCAAAGCGATGGGAGGAGCTCCGACTCCTCCCCGTGTAGTGGTGCAGGAGCCGGATCAAGAGAGACGGCCCAAACGTCACAAGCCTGTCCTAGCAACAAGCGCAAGAACAAGGATCTGACCCGCCAGACCGTTTCTCGTGAAAAGGGCGGGGGCAAAGGATCCGGTGGTCAAAGCGCTCAGCCTGCTGCTGATGCCTCGACAAAAGGTGCTTCGAAAGGTAGCGATGCTGCCCATCTGCCCAAACCTGCACGCAAAGGTAAAGGGCAGGGTGCTCTGGCGTCTTCTGATGCTGAGGGCTGGGCCAGGGTTCAGCGTGCTGCCCCGCAGGGCCCATTCCAGCTCCGATCGCAGGATTGGAGCGCGCAGCTTATGTCCCAGGATGCCGTTGCCAAAGCATTGGATGACCTTAAACCGGGTTCTACTCTGGAAGCTGTCATTCTTGTCGAGCCCTCAGCGCTGTCGAGAATAAAAACCATGCTAGCAGGAACCAGCAAATCCCACAGGATCACACTTGTGACCTTGGACAAGGATGGCCCTCACAAGGTCCCGGGAAGTGTGGGATCTTTCCTGCGCTTTCGACGAGCCTCGATCGCACACTGTAAGTCCGACCCTGCTGACGGTGGTGTCCCTTGCTTTGCGCGGCACAAGGCCAAGGCCATTAAAGTCGTCCCTGCGACCACTTCGGTGGTCTACTTTAAGGTGCCTGAGCTTTACATGACGCCTGATAAATTCAAGCATTGGAAGGCAAACCCGAGTCGTGCTGCTTCTTCTTGGGCCATCTCTCACCAAATCACCCTGAGTGACTCGTGGGGCTGGGTTGAGGAGCAGCAGGCTGGGAAGCAAGGCCGGCAACTCTTTGGCATTGCTCGTCTCATGGAAACTGAGCTCTCTTCCCTGGTTGCTGTCAGTGGCCGGGATGGAGTTTTTGTTGACGTGCCGTGCGGCAAGCTTGTCTCTTCTGTGCAGTGGCTTGCCGCTACAAAGGGCGAAGCTCCGATTGCGTATCTCGAACGCGGACTCCGCATGAGTGCTCCTTACGGTCTGGCCACCCAGGGCGGACGCATCGGTGCCAGATCGCCTCGGGATCCTTCGCAGGCCGTTCCGCGTGTTTGGAATTTCCCTCATGTGCCGGCCAGCTGGGGGCAGAAGGAAGTTCTGCAGGTGTTGGACCAATCCTTCAAGGATGTGGCTTTGATTCAGCACAAGCGCACGGGCGCTGAGTACTTGTATCGCTTCAGAGCCACGCTCAAGCAAGGCGATCTTGACTTGGTTCCTTTGAGCGCCATCGTCGAGAACGAGCCGGGAAAGGACAATGAAATCACGCTGTGGGCTACGGTTGCACCTTACAAGCCTAAGCAAGCTAAGCAGCGACCTTTGCGCTGTGCGCCGACTCCCTGCGAAGCCTGCGCCGGAGCCCCAGCCCGTTCGACTTCAGGTTCCCGCTGAACTCGATGCTGAAGGTAAGGAGGTGTCCCCTGCCAAGCATGTTGCTGCTTCGCATCGTCAAATCCCATCGGGGTGCGACCTCATTGAGACTCCGAAAGACGGAGCGTGTCTCTTTCATGCGATTGCGCGTGGTCTCAACTGGCTTTCGGGCCCTAAGAAGACCGAGCATTCCCACAGAGACCTGAGGGCGCGCTGCGTCGAGCATTTACGAAAACACGCTTCGCAGTATATAGGTGAGTGGGACGGCCATGGGCCGGAGTTACAAAAATTGCGTGAAAACGCTGAATCACCGGAGGCGGGCTTTGAGGAATACCTCAAGTTAATCGCTTCTGAGTCTGCATATGCCTCTACCATCGAAATAAAGCGCTCGGCCGCTTGTTTGACTGTCGCATCCTAGTCATCCCGCGTGATGGTAATTTTAGTGCGATGTCTTTTCATGCGCAGCAGCGCAAGAGGACACTTGTGTTGTGGTATACGCCTCGACATATCGAGCTGCTTTTACCCGCTAACGACTCTAAAGAGTATCCTGAGGAGGCTTTCTCTGTTACGAGCGGTGCTGTTGTGGACTTGCGGGCCGGAGGAGACGATGCTTCCCAGTGCTCTGGTACGGTTTGGACTGGTAGTGCCAGATCCAACCGGTCTAAGGCCAGCCGATCCTCCTCTGTGAAGGCGGGTACTGTGTGGACTGCCATCAAGACTTCGAGCAAAAAGGCTGCTTCACAGACTCTGCACGTTTTTCCCTTTCTGAGCTCGCAAAGGGAAAAACGCATGGCTGACCCTCGGTCTGAGCACAGTTGTGTTAAGCGCACTCGCGTTAATGCTGCCACGGTATGGTCTGGGGCCGCCTCTTCAGGAGCTTCTGTGCATTCTCCCATGCCTGCCCTGCCGGAATGGGATGATGCAGATGCCCCGCGCCCTGAGCGTTTGCATCATGCCCACCGGGCCCTGCCGCAGTCTGCCCTTGTCATGGCTCGTCGGAACCGCGGCCGCGCTTTCCCTGACGGTGTTGCTAAGTGTGGGCTTTGTCCTTTCCGTCGCAAGTGCCCAGACCCGGTCAAGGCCTACAAGGCTTTTCAGAGGCACTTCAGGGCTGCGCACCCGGGTGAAGCGTATGGGTTGGCCCCGGATCGCACAGCGTCGTGTGTCCGAGCCCTTGCTGATGGTGAGGAGGTTTGCTGGCAATGCAAGTGGTGCCGAGCGGGAATCTCCGTTGCTGATGCCGCTCGGTTTGGCAACGACTCCTTGTGGCGCTTCCGTCGAGAACATAAAACTGCGGCTCACCCTCGCCTCTCTTGGGCGGTTTGGACCAAGCAGACGCGCCGTAACCCTTCAGCCACCAAACGGGCCTCTAAGATCAGTGTGACTCGTAGCAATGCCAACAAAGCCAAGCTTCTCCCGGTGGTGCGTGAGCTTGAGGCCCAGCACTTTGATGCTTTCAGCTGGCCGCGTAAGGCTGGGAAGGACACCAACACGGTTGATAAGTATCCCTTGCGAATGACCCCGAGCTGGCTGTGTCGCAAGTGCAAAGCGTCGTGTCAGTCGGCTGCTGCGGCTCGCAAGCATCGCACCGTCAAAGGTCAGTGCCCTTCTCGTACGGCTATTGGATCCGTCTGCGCTCTCTTGCTGCCATTAAAAAGATCCATGACAAGGCCCCTGACAGTGATCGAAAACGGCAGGGAGAGCTTGCTTTCGTTGCTGCTGAGAAAGCCTTGCGAGCCCCCATGTCGTCAGTGTGATCCGGCTTTCGTGCTTGAATGTTAATAGGAGCGGCACTTCCAAGGTGGGGCAGCTGGATGCTCTTCTTCGGCAAGGCCCCCCACAGATCGTTGCATTGTCCGAGGTGAATGTGCCGGACATGGCTGGCATCGGCTATCGTAATCAGTGGAAGGCGCATGGCAGGCATGCTGCCTTGAGTGCCCCGGAGGAGGCTCTCGGCAGCCGCGTTGCCTTGGTCAGTGACTTTCCTTTTCGACATGTTCAGCTGTGTAAGGGGCCTGCGTCCACTAGACACGTGGCGGGGCTCTTTAATATGCGCTCTCTTCCCGAGGATGACTTTTCGCTTCCCCAGGGTTCCCGTGGCATCACTGATGAGAACATTCTGGTGATAGCCTTTTATGGTCAGGCTGGCAATGAGCCAGTCGCCCAGGCACAAGTGGATGACGTTTTGGCGTGTGCGGTGACCTCGGGGTATAGGTTTGTGGCTCTTGGCGACTATAACCTGGAGGCTTCCCAGGGCCGCTTGGGGTCGCTAATTGCTCAAGGCACCGTTCTTGCTGGTGATGAGTGTGCACGTGGCCGGCCTCTTCCTGCCACGGGCCCGGTCAATGCACAGGGAGTGCGCTCTCGTCGCATCGATTTCGCTGTTAATCATCGTGACCTGCCAGCGGTTTCAGTGGATCACTTTCAGTGCGATTGGTCGGACCATTTGGGTGTGCACTACTCGTATGCCCTTGCTGCCCCTCGCCCCTTGGTTGGGCCCAGGAGATGCAAGCCTCGCGACGATCTCCTGCCTTCTGACTTGGAGAGCAGATGTGCTCAAATCGATGCAGGACCGTTTGCGCTTGCTTTGGAACGTAATGATTTGGACGGCGCTTGGCGCTTCTTGTCGGACACTGCCGAGGCCCTGCTGTGTGAGCCGTGCTCTGCAGAGTGCGTCCCTCGTGCGTCTTCGTGGGAGCCTGTCACCTCCATTGCTGCGGGACGGTCGGGCAAGCAGCCTGTGAAGTCGGAAAGCCTGCGCCTTTTGCTGCGGCTCCGCGCCAGGCTCCATGTTTTCTCTCATCGGACGAACGATGCTTTGTTGGCGGCGCGAATCAGGCGCTCGCTTCGGTCCACACGTTTGAAGGTGCCAAGCCTGCCTTATGCCCGCGATGGAGATGAGCTATCTCTCCTTCCACATGTCGAACAGCTCATCGAGACCTTCACTCAGCAGGAGGAGGATGCCAAAAAGCAACTGTGGCGCACCAGGACGCGCACTAACTTGCCTCGCGCCCGGTCTTTTGTCAAACGGCGCGCTGACGAGCAACTTGCTTGGGAGCGTCAGCTTCCGGATGTTGCCAGTCCTGGCGACCCCGCACATCCGGCGGTTGCGGTTGCAGCTGTGGCGAAAGATCTGTGTGCGAAGCTTTCTCCCGCATCCTTTCAGGCGGTCGATGTGCAAGCCATGCGTGACCTTTTGCGGCCCCTGCCGCGTCCTGCTAGCTTGGAGGTTTTGCCTAACATCACGCCTGAGGCTCTCCGACTTTCAATGCAATCCACGAAGCACCGCGCTGCCGGCCCGGACGCGTGGAAACCCGGACTGTTATGTCTCATGCCTGATCCTTGGTGGGTGTGGACCTCCCAGCTGTGGAATCGGTGCATCGCTTGTGGCGACATCCCAGCCCAGTGGGCGCAAGCACGTGTGGTGATGATTAAGAAGCTCAAAGGAGGCTTCAGGCCGTTAACGATATCCCAAGCTGTCTGGCGTGCGGGAGCACGGGTTTTGAATGCCCAACTCGCGGACTGGACTGGTTCGTGGAGGTCCCCGTCGGACGCCGGTGGCATCCGGGCACGTCGGTGCCGGGTGCCCTGCTTCAACTGAATGCTGCAATGCACGGCGGTGCCCGCGTTGCGGTTCAACAGGACATTGCGGGGTTCTTCGATGCTATCCAGTTTGAAGCCCTTGAGGTCCTTCTTTCTCATCTGAAAGCGCGCATCATCCAATTTGATGGCGCGTACAGTGATGCCTGGTTTAGGCCCCGCTTGGGTATAGCGCAGGGATGCCCCTTAAGTCCCACCCTAGCTGCCGCTTTCAGCCACCTTTGGACGTGAGCTGTTTTGAGGCAAGGGGTTTCAGGCCTGGTCTATTTGGACGACCGCTCCTTCTGGACTTTTTCCGCGGATCTTGGCGAGCTGGAGCATGCCATCCATCGCTCAAATCGGTTCGATGCCACATGCGGCCTCGAAATATCCTTGCCCAAGTGTGCGATTGTGGCGCCAGAGGGTCATGTCGAGGCTCCGGCTCTGGCTGCCCGACTGAACTATCAGTACTCGCAAACCTTTGAAGTCTTAGGAGTCACGATTTCTTTTAATGATGAATGGGGCTTGCTGAAGTTCTCCTTGAGAAAAGCTTTACTGCGCATGGAGCTTCTGCGCTGGGTTACCGCCTGCAGTCGGCTGCGGGCCCTCATGTTGAAATCGCTTGTTTACCCGTGCTTACTGTGGGCCGCTGCCTACGCGATGCCACTGGCAGGTGAAATGAAGCAAGTTAAAGATGCTGCGATTCGGGCATTTGACAGTCAATTTTCTTTTGACGCCCCGCGAGTCCTGATTTTCGAACATGTGGGGTGGATGCTGGAGCCACAGTGTGCTGCTGACGCTGCAGTTCTCCGCGAGGCTTGGCGTCTCCTTTGCAAGCCTCCGGCCTTTGCCCTGGTGCTGCCGCGTGACGTCCGGAGCCAGCGCTGGGATCAGCTTTTGCCTGCTGCGCCTGACCTTCTCCGCAGACTGGGATGGACCGTCGCTGAGCGTCCCGAAGGTTTCTTTTTCGTTTGCCGTGACGACTTGGGAGTCTCTCGTGAAGTGCAAGTCGGGTGGGAGAGCTTTGCTGAGGTAAAGGGCTGGCTGTTTGACCACTACCGTCACCTTTACATGCAAAAATGCCAGCGCGTCTGGCGAAGCTTTCATCGGCCGGACCCGAGTCTTGCTCGAGGCCTGGATCTTGAGCCTCCGTTGCGGGATGCACGATTTAGCTTTCGCGGGCACCGTGTTGCCATGCATGAGGCGAATACTTCTTATATGCCACGGGCCGCTGCCGTCACGGGAGGCTCGTGCTGGTTCTTCAAGGCTGGTCAAGGGCTGCACGAGCAACACCGACGCATGCAATGCCTTTGCGGCGCGACTGCTCCGTCGCGACCGCACGTGACGTGGGTTTGCGAGTGCACTGAGGCGCTCCGACGAGGTCACCCTCCGCCGGAGACGCGAGCGGAGGAACGCATGTTTGCCAAGTCCACTCCCTTGAAACCCCCGGCGCCAGCCACCTCTGACCGTCGGGTTTTTCGGGCGGCCTTAGATGCTGCTTTCCGCGATGCGCTTTGCTCGGGCCAAAACAGGATCTATGCGGCCACTGATGGCTCCAGCCACCGATCTGTCGGAGCTTTTGCTTGGTGATCCGTCTTGTGCCTATGCCATGGGTACTGGGGCAGAGGACCAATCCCCGTATCGGCAAGAAGTGCTGGCCCTCCATGCGGCATTTGAGTCGATCCACCGGGTGTGGAGCGAGCGTTGCGAGACGTGCATCTTTCTCTTGACTGACTGCAAAGCCGCTCTCACGGCCATCTCGGGCCATGGTGACGACCCCTTTATTTTGGGTCTCTTGCTGAGGGACACGCGCCGTCTCTGGAAGGAGCTGGAGAGGCGCGGCTGTGAGATCTCCTTGATTTGGGTGCCGTCACATAATAAGCACCCCCGCTGGAGGCCGTCGCCGGATCACGATGCGGATGTACTCCGCGCCTTTAACCATGCTGCAGATGAGGCGGCGGGCAGCTGCATGCAAAACAGGCTCTCTGGCTCTCAAAGGGAGCGCTGGCATCAGCAGTGTGATCAGGCTCGGGATTGGGAGCTGACTTCCATATACGGCTTGCTCCCCTTCCCTTGTGGTTTCGGGTTTAGGTCCTTCCCTAGGGTTTTTCACTGTGACCTGTGCTTGTGTGATGCCGACGCTCCCATGCTCGCACTTTTTCACGTGTTGGGCGGGACACTTAATCACATCCTGCCTGCTCCTCTTCGGGTTTATTTGGGTTTTGGCCCCATCTTTCCTCTAGTGGTACCCGTGTGCACCTGGCGTGAACTCCAATCTGCATGAGCGCGGCCTCGCTTTGCTTGCGTGTTGCTGCTGCTGCGGCTGGGGATCACGCTCCTAGGCCTTCCGTGGCTCTGCGATGTCCTTGTTCCCCCTTTTGGGTTTCTTTGGGTTTTGGGGGTACCCGTGTGCACCTGGAGTGAGCTCAGAGCCTCTGCTGAGCGCGGCTCTGCTTACGTGTGTGAGCGCTGCTGCTGCTGGCGGGAGTCTCTGATCGCAGGACTTTTCTTACGACAAATGCTGCTCGATCTGTGGGGCCGAGGCCCATCCGCTTGCACCTGGTGTGAACTTTGCTCCACTCCTAGCGCGGCTAGCTTGGCTGTGCTCGGCGCTGCTGCTGCTGGAGTGGGCTGCTGGCTCACGCTACTTCCTCTTCTTCGTCAACTACAAGGGCGGCTGCTGTGGGCTGCGACGGGCGAGGTCCTCTGAGCTCCCCTGACGAGGCCTTCTGAGTTGACGTGAGAGTCTCCCGCGAGTTTCTTTTATTCTTGCCTTGTTCAGACCCGTAGCCTTGCTGCTCTGTGCAGGGGACCTGACTCGTAGATTGCTTTGATGCTCAGGTCGTTTTGAGTTGTACTTCATTCCGAACCGTAGCTTTGCTGCTCGGAAGTTTTCTGGATGCACTTGCTTAGTTACTGCATCCAACTTGTCACTCTTCTCACAAGAGGAGGTGAAGCTCAGACGGACTGCGGCTTCCTGACTTCCCTCCCGCTCGACGTGTGGCGAAGGCTCTCTAAACGATGCCTCGTCTTTTGTTGATAGTGTTGCCGAGTGTCATCGCTAGGACTTGTGCTGCACAGCTCGCACTCTCCTTGATGACTCGGCTTTGAGGGATGTTTCACCCGACCCGCGAGGACCTCGGACAGCAGCTGAGCGGTCTTTTCGAAGGCGCTCAGCCCCAGACAACCGGAAATTCTGGAGTTTTGTGGAAGGGACGTTTCCGGTGGGGGATAACTCTTTCCACTGAAACTACAAGGTTGTTTTATTTGAGGGTAATCTTTGATCTTCAAAGTGGCAACAATCGCGAACCGATTAATTGCAGCTTTCTCCATTTTTTGACTTTGTGTGAAAGCATGATTTTATCACACAAAAATTTTCCTGTTTTCACGTGTGCATACAGCGCTCTCCATGCATGTCGAACATTTGAATCTTTCAATGCACCGGCGGTTTACAGCTCAAGTGGCATTGTGTTCGTTTGTAACCTAGTGCACGTAGTCCCAAGTAGAGTGTGTAGAGTAATCACAAGAACACATGAAACATGTGTGTGAACCGCGACACGAAGGCTTAAGTCAGTCAGCCCGCGAAGTGAGAAAAGTGTGTTTGCGAGTAGAGTGGGAAGGAAGGCTTGAGAAGCCTTTAGTTTCAACATGGTAGCGGAGCTCCCTGATTCAGACCTCTTGGGAGCGATGAAGCTATCACAGGAACAACAGGTAGCTGTCGCCATGGTTTCCTTGGCTTTGGCTTCTTCGCTGATGTGTCTGGCGAGAAGCTTTGTGAAAGAACTTGTGAGAAAGGAGACAGTGGAGCGCGTTGCTCCGGCTGAGGAAGAGCTACCAGAACTCTGGTACTCGCCTTACGGAGAGAAGACCCACACCTCAGGAAGATGTCATGGCCTCAGGAACGCAACCAGTGTACACCGAGTACTACCATGCAAGTACTGCTGCCCTGGTGGACTTCGATCCCGAGAACAACGCACCTTCGAGTACAAGAGAACCTTTCTGGAAGCAGCAGGAAAGTACCTTTGGCTAAAAGTCTTTATGGTTGTGGTTCTCATGGGCATGTCATGGTTCATGCTGTTTGAAGTGAACGAGACCTACGGCTACCCGTTGGCCATGAACCGCATGCTGAACTACAGGAACAAGGTCCTCAGCCTCGACAACAAGAACCCCAAGAAGAAGCATGTGATAAAGGAGATTACCCCAGCGGATGCTGTACCTGCCGGGAAGAGCCAAGAAGGTGATCACACAGAGCTTTTCACGTTGTGGTCGCATCTACATTCTACATGAGCCCAATACCAAACCGAGAACGAGAACGAGATCAACGTCACGAGCTACCTCAAGAAGACGAACGTGTACTCCGAGTTCTACAAGAACAGAAGTAAAGGAACAAAGTTGCAACTACAGTTTTCATGAAGGTGATGTCGCGGAGTATAACGAGAACCTAAAGAACGAAGAAGTGCCCCACGTGAACTACTACAAGAACCTTGTGTTTGAGTTGGTCACTTGGATCTACCTCTATTTTTGGTAACGGCGCCCCTAGGGTGCCGAGACTGCTATTCTTAGCTTTTAGCATCTTATGGGTTGGGGGGGGGGGGGGGGGGGGGGGGGGGGGGCTGGGAACGTTCTCTTGGACCGCATCGCTGCCACATCCCGGCTGCCAGTTTTGCTTCTAGCACATCTGCCTCAACCATGGCGGCCTTCGAGAGCATGCGCTCTCTCCTATGTGCTCTTTTGGCCATGGTCATCGTTCTTCGCCATCATGGAGCAGTGCTGCCGGAGCTGGGTGGCTTTGCCTCGTTCCACCTGCAGGACTTGGAGGACACGTGGGAGGCCTGTTGCCAGAACATTCCTTAACCCGTAGACCCTGTCGCTCCGAATCCCGTCATGGAGGTTCTTGCGCTGCCACTCGCGCATGGCTCGGCAGAAGTTGCAGCGTTCTGGGGCATCTTCCACGAATCCCGCCGCAGTCGCAAAGGTGCACTGCCGTGGCTTTTGTTGGCACGGCATGCCACATGCGTTGCC